CCAGAAATCTTGGTTGACAGTCCCCTTTGCAAATCTGGCTGTCTTGGCCCAACCTTCCAAGCGTGACCCCCACCAGAAGGAGTGCCTTGCACACACCTGTGCAACTGCATGAAAAGTTAACAGCTCAGGGCAGTGACTGCAACTCCTTGCAGGTTGCCAGCTAAATCAGATCGGGTTCAGATGGCCAACTCCGATCCCTGGGTGACTCTGATTCAAACTGTCCATCCCATTCGGAGTTCCGGATGAATTCTACCTGGATTGCCAAATCAAGTCAATTTGATTTGGGGGCTGGGGAGTGGGGGAGCCACTGGGCCCTCAGCAAAAGGCCATCCCATTGCCAATCAAACCTGAAGCAACCAATTTGGTCTGACCATCGGATAGAAATTGACCCTCTGATCTGGACTATTGACTCAGTTCAGAAAAATGATCAGGTTTCCTTGGAGTCAAGACTCTGAATTGAATATTTTCATGTGGGCCTCTGCTCAACTGGGCAAGAACTGCCCCAGTGTCAGTGGAGTCTCTTTAAGGCTAGTTGGCAATAATGCTAGGTGGAGTTGAATACAGGATCTTGAAAACTACAAAGGGGATTTCCCAAGCAGAGAAATTAAGGTGGAATCTCCTTGAATGATTTGAAATGCCTCTTCCCAGATTCCCTGCCACCTGGCTGAGTTGCACTTTATGAAATAAGCTGCTTCTGTCCAGCCTTTTTCTCTCCTTCCTCCAGCCTCCCCACAATCTCTCACCCCATAGCTCTAGTGACGTTCTGATGCCAACTTCTTGCACCACCTTTAGAGAGAGGAATAAAGTTGGCTTCCAGTGAGGATCAAAGCAAAACAGTGATTCATCTCCAACTTTACACTTTGTGGTCACTCCTATAGCAAACACATGGGTTGAGGAGGGGGAGAGATGTAGGAGTGGAGGGGAGACAGTGTAAACTTGGTTCCAGCCTGTATATGCAAAACCTTCCTGTGACACACTTCATTAGAGAGTCAATGGTGTCAATCAGTGTTTTTTAAACTTGGCCACTTTAAGATGTGTGGACTTCAACTCCCAGAATTCCCTAGCCAGCCAAGTTTGAAAAACACTGGTGTAAATGATGGAGGTGGTAGACTAGGGGAGGAGACACTTAGGTTCTAGTTCCCTAAAAGTACTCTGGGGTGCTTTGGGCCAGTTCCCCCATCTCAACCTCAAAGTCAGAGGGGTACAGAGATGAAGATGCTGGACTAGGAATGGGGAGACCCAGGTTCTGGTCCTCTCTCAACCCTAAAAACTCCCTGGGGGACTTTTGGCCCCCCTCTCTCTCTCTCCAACTCAACTCCCAAGGAGTTATGGGGAAAATGGGACAAGGAAACACCTTGTACATTGCCTTGAGCTCCTGCATTCAAAGTGGGTTAGAAATCTCATGAATAATGAAATCATCATGGCACACAGAAAACAAGTTCTCTTGCAAATGGAAGAGGGTTTGCTTTCAAAATGTCTTGAGATGCTGCTGTGGAGTCCTTGGGGTTCTATGAGCTTGGTTGTTTTCTTGCAAACATTTCATTACCTGGGTAGGTAACATCTTCAGTGTTAGCAAAAGGCCCTTTTGAAGGTAACGAAACGTCTGCAAGAAAACCACCAACTCAGAGAACCCCAAGGACTCCACAGTTCAACCCTGAGCTACAGAACTTCTCTTCTATTGAGATGACACTTTTGAAGGAAGTCTCCTTGGGAGAGTAGGGCAGTGGCAGGGTGACCACAGAATCAGCACGTGAATGTCTTGTTTTTCATTACACAATCCTGTCTCCAGCACTCCCCAGCTTCCCAGGTTTCCATTCAATCCCAAGGGAAGATCGCAGGAAGCTACTCTCCAACTCCACCAGGGATTTTTCAGCAACATTGCTCCTGTCCTCATGGTTGAGTGAGGTTCTTCAGAAGTTGTTGGAGAATGGCTCTTCCTTTAGGAAATGTCTGCGAAATGAATCTCTCTCATTTCCCCCTCTGTAGGTTTGGTGGAGGGCTTCAAAAGGTAATTCGCTCCCAGCTTTAATTTGGAGCCCCCCCCTTTTTTTGCTGGCTTCCAGACCATTAGCTCCTACCCCCACTGGGAACCTGATTCCTGACTTCTGCTTCTTTAAATCTCCCACGGCAAAGAGACATTGGGAACATCCTTGGGACAGAATGGGCTTATTGCCACCGATGTCCACAGCATTCAGGCCCTTGATTTTCCCTGCAAAAAGCATGCCACGCTTTCAACACTTCATTTCCTGCACGGGGGGTGTTGCCAATGGAGAAAGAGCAGCATAAATATGTTGGGTGAGGACATATTGATCAGCCAGTTTCATTTCTTTGCTTCCTTCCCTTCCTTGTCTTAGTAAAGATCCTCCTCCAAAGAATTCTTGAGGTTTCGAATGACCCAAACATTGGAAAGCCCTGAGATTAATTTCTTGGACTGCATCTACCCCCACTAACAGAAAGCAAGCTGCAGCTTACACTGGGGAGAAAGAGGATCAGGCAGAGAGCTGGTTTTCCAATGCTTAACTGGAAAGGTTGCAATGCCTCTTCTCCATGTTCGGTAAGAAGGTGGGGGCACCAACAGTCCACGGGTGAAATAAGCAGGTTTATTACAGTTCTATCCCAGAGGGACACGTCCTAAGTGTCCTTCATGAGCCCTACCTCTCAGACCCTTTCGTTTCTGCCTAAAACTGAACATAATTCCTTTTACAGGCATGATTCTCATAGTCTCTTGAGCAAGATTTATTAAAAAGAAAGGGATGGGCTTGCAGTAATTCTAGCAACTGAACTATTTCCCATCTACAATCAATTTCCCCCTAAAGTGAATTAGGGCAAAATACATTTCTGGCTTCCTGTGAACCAGCCAAATGGTGGGTCTCTTTAATGATAACAGAGGAACTTGCAGGGACAGTGTCACCAGGCAGGGAAATAAAGGCAACATCTGGAACTTAGCAGAATGGGAAGCAATATCCCAGAGTGGATTTCTGGACTTGGAAACTAAACAGATTCAGGCCTGGTCTTGATCACAATCCAGATTGTTAACCTTTGGATTAGGATCACTAGGAAATTACAGAGCTGTAGCCTTGACTGAGAAGTCCCAAAACATCCCAGATGGTGACAATGACACGTTATGCCAATATTGTGAGTAATAAAGCAACATGGATAAGTGCAGTTCAATTCAAGAGACTTTATCTTCATGTAGCACCCAGGGATTTACTAACAAAACCTATGCAGGAGTGTAGATTGACTTTATTCAGCCTTCTCCAAGGGATATCTGGCCTATCAAAGCCCTTAGGAGATGCTGGAGGTCTTGGCTATCAATAGCCCCCTTTAGCCTGGCCCACACCCCATGAATCTCCAAGCCAAGCCCTGTCATCTATATACTTCAGTGGGGTTCACCACTTGAGAGTCACCAACTTGGGAAGAGAATCCGGTTGGTTGAAAGAGCACATATTTGGAGCAGATGATCCTTGAAACCAATTCTTGCCATCTCCAGGAGGAGCTGGGAAAGCCTTGATGCTGTCCATTGGCACTGACAAGTCTGGCCACCTGAAGTTCTCACCATGCATAGGATCAGTATGGTGTCAGCCAGAACTATAATTCAGAGAGCCCTTTTCGCTGGCCATGCCAGCTGCAGCCAAGGGTGTGGAAGTTCAACAGCTCTAGAAGGCATCAGCTTTCCTACTTCCTGCCTTAACCTTTTCCAGCTTTATACACGCTGCCAATAACTTTATTGTTCCAGGCATGAAGGATATTACGTTGCCCCACTATTGATGGAAGAACCATTTGGAAAGGGTTCAAAGCCAGAAAGGGGCTTCTTGAGAAAGAATCTTGCCACCCTGCCTTGCTACCTTCACCAATTATCAGCCGGAAGCGCTCCTGGCATCAACGAAATGGCAAAAGGGCTGCCTCTGTTGCAAGTTGGGAACTTTCTCCCCAAACCAGCCTTGTTTTGTTGGTTGGCTGACTAGATTGAAATGGAAAACATTTCTGGGAGGGAGAAGAGCCTCTTTTAACGGGTTATCCAGACTCTCTTGCTAAGAGTGCTACATTTTAACAAGGGACTCATCAAATAAGCAGAGGGTTTCTGTTTCAGCTCAGTGGGGTGTGTGTCTCCTCTCCTAGAGTGATAGACAGATGAAAAAAACCCTCAGCTCATTTACTAGCCTAGCTATCTGTAATTGCTACTGGAGAAGTCCCATTACCCTGTGCCCGTGGGTGATCTTCCATCATGCTGCAGATTCTTCTCTGTCCCATCCATCTCCAGTTCATTATGCAGCTTACGCTGACCACTAGCCTGATTCTGCTGTACCCCTTTCACATTTGACCCCTTTTCTGCCTGCACTTAACATCTGGGGAGGAATGAGCACAACAGGTCATGGGCAAGGAAGAGAAGTGGATGACGCCCACACCAGTCAATTCTGAACATCTCCCTTTCCAGGTTTCAGGGGCAAGGGTGGGGGGTGGGTGTCTTAACTAGATTATACTCTCATTTTAGGCCTTATATTGTTGGACTTCCGTCCTCTAAATCAGTGTTTCTCAACCTCAACAACTTTAAGAGGTGTGGACTTTGCCTCCCAGAATTCCCCAGCTAGCACGTTGGCTGGGAAATTCTGGGAGTTGAAGTCCACTCCTCTTAAAGTTGCTGAAGCTGAGAAACATTTCTCTAAAAGCCAATGGTCAAAGAGGACATTAAGAGAAGCAGAGGTTGAGGTGGCTCCAGGAAGCCCTGAAAGTTTTAGTCACTGGCCCCTGGCTGAGAAACTGGGGAGGCTCCCCATTCCAACCCCTTTCCTTCCTTCTTCTACAGCCTCCAGTCTCTAAAGTGGAGTCCACCCCAAACCCTTAACCCCAGCTCTTCCAGCCCACAGCTATCCAACAAACTGGTGAGAAAGGTCCCAGCCAGATGAAGACAAAACTCCAGGGCTGTTCAGTTAAATGGAATAAACGCCTCTCCCTCCCTTCCCCACAGCTTCAGTAGCTCAGACCTCCCCATGGCCCTTTACCTCTTCAGTGGTGAGCGGCATACAGATCCGATACTCTTTCACCAGCATTGCTGCTCTTGGGTTCTGGATGCTCAATGTTCCCCTTGCAGAGAAACACTCTTCAGATGGAAACGGGGACTCGACACCAACCCAGTGGCCCCTGGAGGTTCCTCAGGGAAAGCATCATCCTGTGGGAGAACAAGAATTCCCAACCAGAGGTTGGGGCAGAGGGTGAGATTTTAGAGCAACTCAAGGAGCAGCTCTGGGTGCACATCTGGCAAGCTAAAATCAGGCACTTGGTTCCCGAGCAGCTTTCTCCCCCTCTTGCTCCAAGAACGGCTGGGCTCGTGACTTCATCACCGGTTGCCAGGGCAGCCGTTGTGAGGTCACCAGCCTCCTCACGTGTCAACCCAAGGGAGGAACAGCAGCTGGACCAAGGAGGCACAGAGAAGCCTGTCCCAACCTTTGCCCTTTCTCCGTGGCAGGAGAGCAGAGTCTCTTCCAGACTTTTTCGCCCCCTGGCCCCGCTCTCTAAAGATTCTTCTGGAGGAAAGAGTTTGGAAGATTCACTCAATCACCACATGGCTCCAAAAACTCAACAGCAAAGGGCAAGGGCGTTAATGAAGAGAAAAAAGAAATCAGAAATGAAAAGCACTGGATGCTTGGCGGTCTAAAACCGCAGGCTTAGTGCACCGTTCCAAGTTGCAAGCTGAGACTTACTAGATCTCCGGAGAGCTGCAGGAAAACGCTGATGTCCCCAAGTCACTTCCCAGGGCCAGGCTATTTTGTCAATGTAGGAAAGTGAGCAAGCAAGTGTGCTTCTGCGTGGATACAGACCATCCCTACCAATATGAGACTGGGAATCTTCTGGAACAGAGAGTACCTTTGAAGTAAGCTTGAATTCTGCTGCCTGTTCCCATACTAAATTAAGACACCCCCAGGTGTGATGATTCACTTAGTAGAATTATATTTCCAAGATTCTTTTCTTTTTTAAAAAAGGGGAAGCTGGCTGGTTACAAAGCACAAAATCCATCTTCAGCATCATCTTTCACCCTGGGATATAAAACAGCAGAAAGTGGTTGAAACCCAGAACGTTGTTTGGGAGGGTCTAGAGAAGATAAAGACAAGCTGGGGTGGGAGAAAGCAACTTGGAGGTTTAGAAGGGGTGGGAGGAGCAACCTCCTGAATTTTTCTTCTGGGAAATGAGCTTTTTTGCACCTGGGCATGCTCACCGTGGCCACCCCTTTTAGAGAGTGCTTGTGACATGTTCTCAAAATCCCTAATGGGACGATTGGCCCATGCAGTGATGGGGCTCAGGTTCCAGGACGAGGTTGCAGAATTGGTACCCATGAAAGATCAAAAGCAGTTCTGAGGAACTGAGATGGGAGTGTCCTGGCACTTCTTCTCCTTCCAAGCCAATGACACCATGATGATGTTCCCTGGTGGCTAGCTCTCATTTAGCCAACTGATGCCAACTTTCCATGAATTGCTTTATCTGGAAGACCCCTGACTAAGCAGTCAGCCAGCCCAGCCCTCCAGCAGGTATTGCAGAGATAACCTTGGACAAACAATGCAATGGCAATTAGCAAAACCTGATCTGAGCCCAGGACAGGGGGAAAAAAACATTAGAAAGAAACAGATTAGTTCCACCTTAACTTCCTTGAGTCGAAGAGGGAGGGAGAATGCTCCCAGGCTTTCAAGATTCTGTTCCTCCAGCCTCTATCAGCAAAGCAGAGCTCCAGGATTATTCATGCAGTCTATTTCCTGGCCTGGCCTACCTCAAAGGTCTGACAGGTATTACGTACATGTTGCTCAGCTCATCCATTGAACAAACAGCACGGACTGCGCCAACCAGCTTCTACGGGTGGAAAACAGATCCTGCTGTGTGCATTTCCAAAACTAAAATGCCTCAGTGGACGTTGTCTAGACTCAAATCAGAATCAGTTATCATCACCCCAATGGGTTCAGAATTTGGACCCTGGTAAAATATTGGACCAACTCAGAAAGTCCTTTGTTCCAGTTCTGGACATTGCAACCAAGCACAACCAACTTCCCACTGCCCTCCCTTACCGTATTTCAACCCCATTCAGAACATATCAAAGTGTTACCCACTGAAAGCAAG